TCAGGTTAAAATAGGAGTGTTTCTTCTCTCAAAACACTACAAATGTCAAAGAACTAGAGATTCTACCGCGCTCTGGTCTTGCCTTGTTTTCTATAAGCTGACCGAGCACTGGATTGTTGACTTCTACTTTGCATACACTTAAGCAACCAATAGGACTTGGTTAGTTATATTGTAGTTAACATTGGGCCTATATAGCTACTATAAACTGAACTTGTTTTACCTCATACTGTAAATACACCACGACATCCAAAAACTGCTGATAACGTGTTTTCAACCAAGCTGGTTTTTATTGCATTACTCAATACCACAGCACTGTTGCAAGACAGGGAGTGTGAACAGCCTGAAAAGTCACATAATTGCTGAAATGACATGGCGACCAAGAAACTGCTGAATATACTTAAATACACGTAGGGAAAGATGTGTGAGCCTTTCAAAAAACAACATTTAACTGACCTGTGGGTTGCCATCAGTGGAGTCTGCCATGTTGAACCGCCATGTTTTCTACGGTAGCCCAGAACGAACCAACCAACAATGGCTGTAGCTAGGCCTTTCTGGTTTTTTGCACCACCACATGGCTGTTAAATGTACCCAAGTGGTCGTCAAATACAGACACGAGGGGTGTTCAGTTAGTTGCAATCTGCGACTTCACTGCTATGCCACTGAATCTTACACACTGGCCCTTTAAATGTGTATGTACTCACAATAAAGACAGCAAAACATCAACTTATATTTGGTTAATGTGAGACTTCGACATTTTGTTAACCTGAAAATGATGGTTCTGGAACTGACTTTAAAATAATCACCCTCTGTGGCATATCTAGCTCAAGTTCAAAAACCATACATTGAGATTTGGCCTTATCAGACTATAATAAACTGACACAGCACTATAAGCCAGTACTCTTCCACTTGTATAGCTGTGCTTTGTTTCAAGTGCCCAGCCCAGTTGTACTTTAAGGGCCTCTCAGTTTGGACAAGTGCTTTGTTCACCACCTGCTTAACACAAAGACACTGCTTCTTTTTACATAACATTATTCTCTGCATCCTACCACTTCTTGATACCTAATTTTCCAACAATTAAATTAATTATTACCTGAACTGTTAGTTTCTTTTGAAGGTAACTTGTATTGTGGGATTTTTCTCCATTGGTATAAAATTGTAGTAGTTATGTATCAGCGAAAACAATAGTAAGAATGTTTGGTGATGGTCAATGAGGACTCTTGTGTGGATATTATGCCATTGCAGATATATTACAAACATTAACAAATGCATTTCAAAAGTGATATGCTCATATTTAATATTTAGCATCAAGAGCTACAAGCTGGCTAACATCACTGCTACATTCAGGCTGTCTCTGTATAGTTGTTTTTCTGATGTCTGGCTAATTACGTAACACATTCCTGACTTTTATAAGGAAGTGTCACGACAGGAATGAGCCAGACAGGCTCCTCCTAACCCTAACCCTCTTAATGAAAATGCAGTGTGGCTGGTATAGCCACTCTTTCATTTGGTACCTGCTTTTTGGTTAAATTATTTTATGTATTTCCAGGATCACCTTAACCACTTTTGTGGAAGCCCTCTGGCCTGTTTGGTGGTGTTTTTGTTCTCTTGCAGGTTAATGTAATTGGTAAGGTGGGCCCAGTGTTCCCAGCCATCTCTTTGTGCAATTTTAAGTATGTTTTTGTAGATAAATCACTTAATTTGAGGGCTTTGTTGTCTTTATTTGCCATGGGCCACCATCCCATCTTACTCGTCATTGTGTTTTAAAGGAAAGCTTTGTTTTAGAAACACTTGTGGTCGTCGGCTTTAGAGACAGATGACTGTTTTTCTTGGTAGACAATTTTCTCTGAATGTAGGCCACTCTTAGATAAAATATTTCAGCCTGCATGGAATACTGTTGATGTTAGCAAAAGACGTTATCATTGTAGGCCAAATTCACAACCATGACCATCTCATACCTGAAGGTTGCCTATGAATTAATGAACACCACATAGACAAATGAGGATTCAGGCTAAAAACAGGATGGTTAATGTACTGGAGTAAAAAGTACTTAATCTGGAATGTTTTATACTTACAAAACTGAGTTTGAGTTACTTACATTTGTTTATGTAATCCGTTTCAACTTCTGAGTTAAAATAACGCATTACAGTGTATTATTCAATATCTAAACCTTGATGACCTGAACACAAGCTGTATTAGAACCAATGGCCAAGTATCAGGGAGAAGAAAACACTGAATTGGTCAAAAAAGAAGCCTATTAAGTCTGTATGATTGTTAAAAATAAAACACATAATAAATGGACAGAGAGATATATAAAACGTTACTAAAGATATTCACATAATCTGCTCAAAATTCATTTAAATCACTAAGTTTACACCAACTTTCTGGAGTTATTGTGTTCACTATGTGGGTTCATTGTACAGTTTATAAGGTATATATATGAAATATCCATAAAATATGTAAGGGTTGTCAATTTACCCAATGATAGAAAAGGGGTCCCTTAAGAAAAAAGGTTGGAAAGCACTGGGTTAATGGTGCAGTGTAGGTTTACACGGGGTTCCTCTAATAAAAAGCTTTTTATTGCCTTTTGTGCATCTACTAGATTAACCATACCCCAGGGAACAACAGAAGTGAATTTGGTGCTTTAGCAAGATACGCACTTATCATTACAGTCTAATGTGCATGTCTGTAATCACGTTATTTTGTGCTGTGTCACGTATTACCATTAGTCAGCCTTGTGCACAAGTACGATCAGGTTCAACAGAGGATTGTGCTGTGTCATTGTGGTGACTCAGCTTTTCTACAGATTCAAGGCCATGCTTCCTGTTTCTGTGTTCTGTTGTGGTCAGGGTGACGGGGAGAGGGAGGAGTCTTGTGACCTGGGAGAGAACTTTACCTCAGTGCTAAGCTGGGTGGAACCAGTTTGGGAGACTAAAGAAGGAACCAGAAAGTAAAAAAAAGGAACCCATTACTAGAGAAGATTTACTGTATGATTTAACCAGTGTGGCCAGGCTCATCATGTACATTTTTCCATTTTTTAGTGTGTAAAACGACCTAGTGATAGATACAAAATGAGCCAAGTTGAAATATATTGAAATAACATGAGCACATGAACATTGTATCTTTTCAAACATTTCTCATTAGTTACTGTTGGGAAAGTTAAACTTTGCTCAACCTGTCGGGGGTTTAGACGGAGAAGATATAAGACTATGCAAGACTGACATGGAACAAGTTAAATTTTGGTCATTGACATGACATGTTCCCTTGATGAGCATTTCTTTTTCTTTAGTAGTCTGTCCAACTTGTACTTAAGGTGTACTTTGATCTATGGTCATTGACATGGACCATAATATTCATGAGAGTCCATGTTTTCATGAGAGTCACCTGAAAATAAAAATCGTTGTGTTTTTGTTACCTTACAATGAACAGTTTATATCTACAGACACAGCAGGTTTCCTTCTGTCGTGGTCGCCATGTTGAGCCACCATGTTTCTACAGTAGCCCAGAATGGACAAACCAAACACCGGCTCCACTTAGGGCAGTTTGCCTTTTTTACGCATTCCGCAGCCACCTGAGTTTCTTAAGGAAACTACCATAGTCTTTTTGCCCATTTACCATAAGCCATAGCATCAGTATTTGACAACCTGAGACTCAACAGTTAACCGTCTTTCTCCAGAACGACTGACCCCACCTTTACCGCTTCGTTTTTCTTTGAGTTGATCTTAGTAGCCTGCATCTTGATGGCCTTGCTAGCATGACAGCCCTCTTTGTTTCCTCATTGTTCCCATATGAATCACTCACTTTTTTCGTAGCAAACATTTTTACTTGTTGGTACTACTCTGTTCTAGCAATAAGTCAAAATATCTGCTGTTGAAAAGAAATCTGATTAGCCACTCCAAGTGCCACCCAGTCTTTCAGAGACTGTAGCCTCCTTTGCTACCAACCATTTCATGCAAGCATGTCGGAAAAATTCCATCCAAGAATATTTTCAAAGGCATCTCTTGACCTCTGACCTCAACATATCTGAATGAAAATGGGTGTTAGGAGTTTTTGACCAAAACTCTGCAGTAGGCTACTCTACATGTGGTAAGAATGTATTATTTTCACCTAGTGTTTTTGAATATTTCTGCATACGGGGATCCATAAAGGGCAGCTGTGGCTCAGAGGCAGAGCGGGTCGTCCCGTAATCGGAAGGTTGGTGGTTTGATCCCTGGCTCCTCCTGTCACATGTCGAAGTATCCTTGAGCAAGATACTGAACCCCAAATTGCTCCCGATGCTGTGAATGTGTATGAATGTGTTTCTGTTCGATGGACTGTGTGAATGTGTGTGAAAGGGTGAATGTCTCACGTAGTGTAAAAGCGCTTTGAGTGGTCGGAAGACTAGAAAGGCGCTATACAAGTACAGGTCCATTTAGCATTTACCATAAACAGATGCTAATTTCAGCATGTTAACTTGCTCACAGTGACAATGCTAAAATGCTGATGTTAAGCGGGTATAGCCTAATATTTACCATGTTCATTCATCATCTTACTGTAGCATACTAAATTTATCAGATTTATTACCAAACACCAAGTACAGCTGAGGTTGATGAAAATGTCATCAGTTTTATGGGTGTTTGGTCTTAAAGGTCCAGTGTGTTACATTCAGGAGGTTCTATTGTCAGGAATGGAATATAATATTCATAGGTATGTTTTCATTAGTGTATAATCACCTGAATATAGAAATCATTGTGTTTTTGTTACATTAGAATGAGCTGTTTTTATCTACAGACGCTGCAGGTCGCCTTCTATGGAGTCTGCCATGTTGAACCACCATGTTTCTACAGTAGCCCAAAATGGACAAACACTGGCTCTAGATTAGTTAGCATTTTTTTCACATTTCGCAGCCACTGTTGTTTCTCCTTTCAGCTTACACCTGTAGCTGCCACTAAAGTACGACTACAGTAGATGAATCGTCAAGGATCACCAAAATTATTAAAATTCAACAACGACAAGATAGCATGTAAATTAATTAAATGATATTTTTATTATGGCTTTTAGACAGTGAGACCCACACTGTCATTCTCTGGAAAAACAAATTTGATGGTGTCTACAAACTAGATTTTCCTGGGAATGTTTGCGCCCAGTGTACCCCTATGGCTAAAAGCTACAGTACCATTGTACAGTAATAAAGACAGTACAGTACAGTACCTTAGCGTTTCAGTTGAGATGACACAAGATTGATTGATTTTTCTCTGTCATTGACAGACCTCTAAGGCAGATGAGGTTTCAAGTTGGAGAACTGGAGAAAAAGGGATGCATTTATAGTAAAAAACACCACTGTTACTACAAAAAAAACAATGACAGATTCTACCATGTCTCTGATACTTTATGACACACCACAAATACCTGTTGTCTAATGAAAACTATCTGATCCAGGGCTCTTTCTAAAGTCTTCCTGGAAAATTAAATGCTGACCTTAAAATCAAATTACTTGTAACAAACCAAGCAGAGGTGTGATGACTAATAGGAAGAAGAAGCATAATAGCAGAAGATAGAGGTAGAAAGTGAGCAGGTCCTGTGTTTATAATTGCAGAAATGCAACAGCAAATATCAGGTCGACATGGTTCTTGCTTTTGGTTGCCTTGTTTCCTCCTGCCATCACCTCAAAATGTAATATGTTAAGACATTTAATCTTGTTTTCCCGTTCTGCCCACTCACGCATAACCTGCTAAATAAATCCCTATTGTCTGACCTGTGACATTATGTTTAAACTAATGAAGGCATTTACTTTTGTTTGACAGCATACTAATCAGATGTGTTTTATTTGGAGCGAATATTTACATTCGTTTACATTTTGTTTAGCTATATTTTAAATAAAAGATAATAGGATAGAATTGCATGATATTTATATGATATAATTATATTTTTTTTGTTAATGTAAGTGTTAAATAGCTCGACATTCTGATAGCCATAAATGATATAGAGGTTTCAGTCAGTAACATGGGACTCCCAGGACCTCCTTTCAGCAGTAAACAAAATACATTTTCTGGTATCCTGTTCATTGCATATTTAAGTATATTCTAAGTATTTCATGTGACCTTGGTGCTGAAGAAACCAACTGAAAAGCTAATGAATGTTTGACTGTACTGCATATTTTGATACTAACATTTGTTGTGATGTTAAGATTTGTGCTAACTTCTTTTTCTTTAATTTACTGATGTCAGGTTTATCTGCGTTGGCTGCTTGATGCCACATTTCCTGATGCTTCAGATTATACAGATGTTTCATTTCTGATCCAAAAATAATTGGCCATAACATGTTGGAACAAATCATCAATTCACAGGCTTCTGCCAGTGACAGTTCTCAATTTAGCCGGCAAAATCGACACAAGCTGGAAATGAGAAGCCTGTTTTCGTAAACCTCTGTCTGAAATCAAGGATCCTGCATGCATGTCGTTCAAGAACAGAAAGCTTGACAGGCATAGCAACAGTAATTGAGGAGCATTAGGCTTAGTGAATGTTAATTACTGCAGGCATTTGTTATCCGTTTACTCCTATGTTCATTGACATATTAGGATTTTCATGGTTACAGTTAATTTTTGATCCTTCCTTTTCAATTTACATCCTACAGGTCACAGTTGTCTTTCATTTTCCCTCTCTCTGTCTGTCTTCTTATGCAGTAGGAATCCAGACACTCTTCCACTGGACGGCATTTCTCCACATCTCTTCCAGGAGCGAGGAACGGGTCCAGTCCCTTCTCTCCTCGTCCTTTTGGCAGAACAGGCACAGGATTTTCAGAGGGCTGGTGCACGTGTACTGGAGGTACTGACAGCCCTACGGAAAGAAAATCAGAGAGCAGGGGTAATATGGGGTATGTCTGAGTGATTAAGAGTGCTGTCTGAGTGAGGACACCAAATCCTTCTTTTAGGACAAAAAAAAAATCTTCCAGACAAAACTTGAACACTGGTCCTCACCTCAGCACTTCCCCAGTACCAGATGGCCTTGATGACGCTGTGATTTGCCAGAGCCACTGTCAGCTGGTCTCTAAGTCCTGTCACGATATTTACCAAACCTGCTGGCAGGTCTGAAGACTGGAGCACCTGAGGAAGAGGAGGAGGAAAAGGGGTTATAAAGTTAAATCAGTGTTTACAGACATAGACAGGTATATGCAGGTTAGTGGCGTACCTCTAGAGTCTGTTCTGGGTCCCAATTCTATTTTTCATTTATATATGTCAACATTAGGCCTTTTAAATCATCACTTTGATATATTTCTCTACTTCTATGCAGGTGACACTCAGCTGCACTTGTTAGTTAAACCTGATGATCGCAGCAAACTCACTCAGTCACTTTTCCACCTCAGCCAAGCGTACAGCGTACTTGAAAAGTGCAGATAGAGTCTCCCATCTTGACCAACTCGCTGCACCGCACAGTTAACACCTTAACACTTACTTGAATGAATGTCAAGACTGGCAGTGGATTCTTCTGACTGGGGATCATGATGACTGCATTTCCAGTGGCGATAGCGGCCCCGAGAAGTGTTACTGTAGAGAGTAGGGGATCCTTGTCAGGCAGAACGACCCCCACGACTCCCAGGGCTTCAGGGAGGGAGAGGGCAGAGCCAGACTGTGGCACAGGCTGAAGGAGAGGGAGAGGGTTTGGAGATCATCTCATTTGTTCATTATTGGGAGTGTTTTTTTTAAAACACTTTGTATAATATAAAAAAAAGTCCCACCAGAGCTCCTCCTTGGACTTTGTCACAGTAAGCTGCCCAGTCACTGAGCCTGGCAATGCTGAGCTCCACCTCCTTCTCTGCCTCGTCCATTGAGAGACCAGTCTGAACGTTGATTGACACAACTATGTCCCGCCTCTTCGCCTCCAAACCCTTGGCCAGAGAGTAGAGTGACTGAGCACGTGCAGAAGGACTCTTTTTCATCCAGCTGAGGAGGGGAAGGATGTTAAGAGAAATAATTATGAAAAAACCTTGGTGCCAGCCAGTGATCTTCTGTGTGTTTCTTTGTCAGGTTACATTTCATCGTTTTGGTTACATATGCAGAATGACACCCGCTATTATTACCACTAAATTATTTTGGTTACGACATGTAAAAAGGTATGAATGTCTTGCAGGAAAAAAGCATGTACTGTTCTTTTAATGGTTTGTATTTATTGACAAGAAGAGCTGTGTGTTTATTGGATTTCAGTGTAATCAAACTTTGATCATAATATAACTCAGCAAATCTGTGTCAGGTTGGACTTTGACTGGTAATAAAACGCACAACTTGCTGCCTATCTGGATTGTGTACAGGTGTCCTTGTGAGTGCCTGAAAGCCAGAATAAATATCTTTTATAAAGGCCAAACTTCACCTCAAAATGTTTTAAAGCCCTGTTTAGATTGGTTGGTGTTAAATTTTAGGAGTGTTTTAGCCTGGGCCAAATTGAATAATTAAAGGATTAAATGAAACTGTGCAACAAAGAAGATAAGGATTTTAAAAATACATGCTTTTTGAGCTGTTTTCAGTGAGGCCCTTGTTATGTTAACACTTGTAATTTTCTCTAAAACGAAGCATCTAACAATAGTCAGTGGCCAAATGAGTGATTATGATTAGGGATCCGAGTATCGGCGCTGATAGTGACCTTGAGATGAATGAATTAATTAGTAGACTGGGTTGGTGTGAGTGATCCACATTAAATCCAGTTTTATGTTATGCTGTAGCTAGTGTGGTGATCAAATGAGGCATTAAGTGGCTTGCTTCACAATAAATGCATTTTAATATAGGCCTTTACTGTTAACTTCATCCACCTGCAGCCTTGTGACGCCTGTGTCAGGTGGAACATGAATGAGAGTGCTGCAGCACATCTTCCCCTGATCTACTGTGGCTTGGATTTTATCTCATTTGTATGCTGCATTGGGCAAAAATGTCAATGACAATGGATTAATAACAAATCAAGTTAAGTTGACATAATAAGTAACCCAATACGTAAGGCACAATTGCAAAGATTATGGGATAAATATCTTAAAAGAAGGTATTTATATCAGGCCCAACAAGAAGTAGTAATGGGGAGGTGATTGCTGGAAAAGCAGCAAAGATGTGTCTTATTAGTAGGATTAAACTGGGATATACAGATTTCAAACATTTTTTTAAAAGTAAAATTCAATTTCAAAACAAAATTCAAGCACTTTTTACCCACTTTAAAAGGTACCTTAACCAAACTCTTACTATAAACGCAAATGCAAATTCAAACAATTCTTTGTTGCAACTATTTAACTATTTAAAACAAGCCACACACAGTCAATTCATCACAACTCCAATATTATTTGTATATTGCCTTGGTATATCCAAATAAAAAGAAAAGTTTTATTTAAACTCAGTTTTTATTTGGCGTCCCTTGTACATATATCAATCCAGTTTCCACTGTGGCTTCGGGTTTGTGACTTTGAAAACACAGAATATACCCATTTGTTTCTTTATCTGGACTTTGACCCAATTCGCAATAGTTTGTGTGTAATTTGGGTATGTTTGTTTGGCAAAGCTCTCACCCAGGCTGGACTTTGACTGCAGCCTCCACGGCATTACGGACATCTTTCCGGCCTCCTTCTGGACAGTAGGCTAACACACTGCCGCCCCCTGGAGACTGCACAGCAACACTGCAGCCAGACACTGATTTACATGCCTTCCCACTGACAAACTGCAGGTAGGCCTTAGGAGCCCTGAGGGGAGATAAAGGATGAAGGGAGAGATACATGTGGACAGATATGTACAAAATGTGCAGAACTGACAAAAGAAGAGAAGATAATTTCCTTAAACCCTGCATGCATTGCTGTATTCTTACAATATATTAATAATGCACTTATGCAGCTATGATGCCTTGTGATACGTTTATAAACATGACTTAAAGTAAAGATTAAGAGCATTAAAATCCCCACCTGGCAGGGTCAGAAACATCAGGAATGATGGCTGGGGATGCTGCTGTTCCAAACATTGAGTAGTCCATAGAGACAGGGGAGGAGCGAGGTAGAGGAGGAGAGGAAGAACAGGACTGGCGCAGAAACTGGTACAGACCCTGGCAGAGAGCAGAGAGGAGGTCAACACACAGTACAAAACTCATCTGCATAGTGGTTAGGAAATGATCCCTGCAGTGGTCATTATATTGAAAAGAATATTTTGTATATGTATTTTATATATCTCTTCCTTCAACCTCCAATCAGTTAATTACAAAAAGCTTTTTTTCCTACCAAACAATAGATAAAAAACATAAAACTTATAAGACAAATGCCAAGAAGGCCATTTTTCCTCATCACATTTCCAATCTTCCTAATACTTATTTGATAATAAGATGGGCGTGTCCATCCACGTCCAGAGCAATAACTGGTTCAGAGCTTTGTGTATGTAATGCCAAGTTTATGTCATTTTTATTTTATTTTTTTATATGATATGAGTCATATTGGGAGACTTGGGGGGGGGGGGGGTATTTTGTTGGTATCTGGTTTCATTTGATAACAAACTGCTCCAAATACACAACATAGAAAAATTGCTAATTTATCATTTAAATTAATATAAGGCTAGCAACAAGGGTAACCATCTTGGATTAATCTATAAATTCTACCATTTTGAAATAATAGGTTTTCTTGTTCTTGAGAGAACTGTTTGGCTAGCTAGCTTAACTGAACATTACTGCAGCTAAAACCAGACGTTTTAACTAGCTACCTAGCCAAAGCTAATTTTTGTCATAACATTACCCCAGCCAGTGTATTTATTACACCTGTATATATCACCTATATACTGTACTGCCTAAAAATGTAGCATCACTGTATAAACTCTTTTAACCGCTAAAGCATTTTAGCCGATAAGCTAACACTTAACTAGCTAATGCTTCTTTACAAAGTTTATGAACACCATGCTTCTATCTTCATCTTGAAGTGTATATCTCTGGTACAAAAAATTATTACAATGCTAAGACATGTCAGTTTAGTGACTTTTGGGCCGCTGTAGTGTCTTCTGTTAAAATGCAACTGTGTGATAAACTACTGAAACACACCTCCTGTCCTCCGTCAGTGCAGGTGCCGCTGTCTTTGTGACCGGAGACTGGCAGACAGGGGTCAGACACAGAGTGGGAATTCACCCACAGTGAGCCAACAGACAGACTGAGGACAGAGGAAGGAGAAAAAACATATCAGTAGGGAGTAACAGAGCCTTTTCACAACAGACATTTATTTTTCTTAATTTGTTTTTTGGACTTTTTCCCTTTATCAGATAGGGCAGCTGAAGATAGACAGGAAAGGGGGGAGAGAGAGAGAAGAGAGAGAGAGAGAGAGAGAGAGAGAGAGAGAGAGAGAGAGAGAGAGAGAGAGAGAGAGAGAGGGGATGATACGTAGCAAAAGGCCACAGGTCAGATTCGAACCTATGGCCGCTGCAGCAAGGACTCTATAGATGGCTGCTGCAGCTCTACCACGTGAGCTCTCCGGGCGCCCCACAACAGACATTGTGACTTGCAAATTCCCACACACTGTCTAACTTGCAATAAAACATTCATTTGGGATGTTTCGGAGGTAGACTTTCAGTCAAAATGCTTGTGTATGACTTGTCAAACGCACAGGTGTACATAAGAACATGAAAATGGCTTTAAGGTGCCTAAAATTGTAAATATTAGGACCTCTTAGCTGTCTCCAGAGCCAGGGTGAGGTCTTCAGTCCAGATGGAGGCTGCCTGGCCATGAGGACTGTGGTTTCCTGTGTAGAAGAGAGACTGTTACTGGGGTTCAAGTAGAAATTCTATATTAAAATACAAATTGTATTACTCCTCTGAAATCTGTTGTATTGAACAAAGAAACCTTTGTTAACTAGAAAAAACCAATGTAAATACACTGTAGAGGCCACTACAAACTTACTGTGTTAATGATGGTAAAATGCTACACATAGTAACTTTAAGTCTCACTAAAAGTTTTTTTAAATACTGAACTTCCAGTTTTGTAAGATTCATATTCATCAAAGGTAACTTAATTGTCTAAAATCAGATGACTACAACTATCTTCAGTCATGCATCTACATCCACAGAGGCGGCCTTACCCAGGGTCACTGCTTCTGTGTTGCTTCTGAAGGTCATGAGAGGCAGCAGTGGTCCAGGAGAGGGGCTGATCACAAATGGAGAGGAGGGGGCCGCCCCGCAGAGCACCGTGGGAGGGTACTGGGCACCTGAAGGGGGGGCAGCGCAAGACTGAACCAACTGGGACCCAGAAAGAGAAAAATTACAGCTCATTATTATTTTTCAACTCCTTCATTTTCCTACGCATGTATTCATATTCATCTATTTCCCCCGACATTTTCCATTTTTCTCACCACATTTCAAACTTTTTCAGCTGTAAAATGCTTTAGCTACTGTTACAACAGTTTAAACACGTATCTAGCTGAAAAGGGTGGTATCCAGTGTGTTTAGCCAAGTTACACAGTCCATTGTTGCCCCTGATGAAGTTTAGAGACACACGTAAGAGTACAAAAGTTTAATTCCATCTGTTGTCCAAATGTGGTTAGTTTCCATCACTGATAGCAATAATGTGAGCCTCCTCTACTCTCAGTCCCTCATTTTAAACCTCACTGCAGCTTAGTATAGCTTTTCTTTGTTGCTCTGACTAACCGTGGCCCCCTGCTGCTGAGCTTCCTGTACTGCAGCATCCACCAAGGCCCTGTCTCCATCACAGCACAGGGCCACACACTTCATCCCCACCATACGCAGCCTGAGACGGGCCACAACACTCTCCAGCACACTCTCCTGCACGCATAACACCCAGTGGACCTGAGGGGGGGGAGAGAGGAAGAGAGACTGTTAGAGAGACGTGGTGGTCTGACGGGATGGCATGAGAAACACTCCATCCTTCTATAGGAGATACTTATTTGAGTAAATCACCTCTCTTTTCTTCTTGAAGGCAGCCTCTATTACTCCATCCACCGCGCTGTCGATGTCAGCTGACTCAAAGATGATGAAGGGGCATGTGGCACCGATGCAGGGGGAGACAGAGACGGGAACGCCCATCCCTGCTGTGGCCTTACACAGCATCACCCCGTCCTGAAAGAGAAGATGTTTTAATGACTTAGCTTAATAACAAACGTACAAGTAAGTTTTCGACTTTCTTGTTAGGAATGTTACACCAATCTCACGCACGCACCTGCTTGTTGCCACTGTAGGCGACATAGCTGATGCTGGGGCTCTCGGCCACTTTGGCACCCAGCGACATGTCACTTCCTGTTAGAACATTAAGAGCCCCAGCAGGAAGTCCCGCTCCCATGAAAAGCTGCGCCAGGAGGAGCACTGCAGGGGTGCTGCTCCGACCGGGGACAATGATGACAGAGTTACCTGGAAGAAGGCAGGATTCAGTTATAACACCTCTTAGAACCAACATAACAAGCAAGCTGCAACAATTAACCGGTAATCACTATTTTGATCATCAGTTTAGCCAATCATTTAATGGTTTCAGCCACTCAAATATGAACATTTGCTGCTGTCCCTTTTTTGCAAGTGGAATATCTTCTGCTTTTGGAGCAATGGTAGGACAAAATATAGTGCTCCCCTCCTCCCAGTTTACACATAAAAAAGTGAAATTTAGGATGGGTATAAAGACCATAGATTTTCATAAACTTACTAAAGTACAGGCTCATAAAACCCAACCAAAAAATCTGATCTGTATCACAGATACATATGGGCCTATATAATAAATAGTAGCCCATACACTGATCCGAATGCAACTCACATCCCAATGCAACATGACATGCTAAATATCATTATTTCCAACATAAACCTAAGCCTGTATGAGGCTTCTGGAGGGCTAAGGTGCTGTGGAATGTTATATGTTATTTGATTAAAAAATAACATAATCACACAATTTTTGATTTTTATAATAACAATATTTATATAAAAAAACCAACACAGGTTGTAGTTTTTCCCATTATATTCAGACATTAGGAGGATTAGGATTTATTTTTACAATATTCTTTCAAGAGCACCAACAGTGAAGTTGACAACAGCAAAGTCACTGTATAAACACAATAATATCGCACAGAAATCAAGTCTGTGTGTGTGTTGTGTGTGTGTGTGTGTGTGTGTGTGTGTGTGTTACCCATTGCCAGTGCTGGCAGGACTTTGAGCATAATGGAATAGAGAGAGCAGTCATCAGAGACAACTACTGCCACCACACCTGAAAAAAAGGAAAAACAAAATCAAACTCTATTACAAATGAAGACTGAACTTAACGCTTCCTCGTAAACACAGCCCTGTTAACCTCACCCAGCGGTGTCCAGTTGGTGATGAGAGTGTCTCTGAGCTGAGCCCAGCTGCCGTAGTACTGCAGCAGTCTGACAAGGGTGGAGGGCGAGCAGGAGGCCCCGCACAGCTCACACAGCTCCGACACACACTGTCCGTGCTGCCCGAGGACGCTCACCAAGCTGTTAGTGGGGGACACGTTAGGACAGCGGTTGACAGTATGCATGAAATGTGTATCGTACAGGAGAGTTTGTGGTACCTGAGCAGCACTTTGGCCCTCTGGCTGCAGGTCAGTCCGCTCCAGGCCTTGAAGCCATTAGCAGCAGAGGAGGCGCACTGGGAAACATCGTCCTCCACAGCGCACACTGTGCTGCACACGGTTCCACCTGGAGACCAGAGGAGTGAAACAACATGCGTGTGGTCAGTTTACTTTGAATACTTTGACTAGTTAAACTGAAAGAGAAGTAAAATCATGCTGCTCTTACCTTTAGAATCAGACAGGGAGCGACTCTGTCTGTCTGCTGGACGGACAAACTTGCCATCGATGAACAGACCCAGAGAACGGGAATGGTGATCCAGCCAGGCCTGATGGAGAAGAATAGAATAGAAGTTAATGTGCCACACTAATGATTTTGAGTTCAGATATCTAAATAATGGAGCTTTTCCCAGCAAATATTCATGTATGCGATTGTTTAAATTGTTGCAATTAAATTAGCATATATTTCCGATTTTTCATATATTACTTTCTAGGGTTGTTTGAAATGTACTCTGATGACCAAACTGCAATCACATGCAAACATAATAATAATAATAATAATAATAATAATAATAATAATAATAATACATTTATAGAGTGCTTTCCAAGGAACTCAAAGACACTTCACATAGATTAAAATACATAGGTTTTAAATTGTAATAGGAACAACACATACACAAAAAATAATTATATATATATATATATATATATATATATATACACACACACACACACACACACACACAACAATGAATCACACATTACAAGCAGTTTCCAAAGAGGTGGGCTTTGATCGGTGATTTGAAGGTGGATGGATTAGCACAGTCTCAGATTTGTTTGGGGACAGAGTTCCAGAGGGAGGGGGCAGCTATGGAGAATGCTCTGTCGCCCCAGGAACGATGCTTGGTCCTCAGTGGCAGAGACAGGTTGGCCTCAGAAGAGCGGAGGCTTTGGAAAGGAGTATGGCGGTGGAGCAGGTCTGTGCTAGTATTCTCCAATCTACATTTTGAAAGTAACAACTGCCTTTCAAAAACTGTCTTTTTGTGTCTGAAACCACAGCAATATTTCTTCACAACTGCAGAAAAACATGAAACTGGTCTTCATGCTTTCAAAGTGAATTCCACTTTGTAATAAGTTCATTATCAACATCAATAAAAGCTTCTTGCCAAATGCCTCTAAATGTGGCCAATCTGACGCTGTAAAGAGACAGACCCATGCCTATGCTCACATTTTATTGGTCAGGAAGACACCACCTCTGCTGGACAGTGACTGATTAAAGGTGGGTCGGCCAGGCTGGATGCGTCAACTATTTACAGACAGATGACCAAAGTGCAGAGCAGACCTTGTTTCTGAGCCACTGAGCTCATCTTCATAGACCAAACTAAAGCTGCTCTGATATCGCTCTGCAATATTTCACAACCACATTTTACTTTCATGACATTCTTGATACAGCAGAAAGACAGACTACAGAGACAAGGTCAACTATAGAACAATCTTGGAGCGAACTGAACCACTACCAGAACACTATAATGACACATTTAGTGACTGCACTGGGATATCTGAACACTTTGAGCCTTAAAGCAGCAGTAGGCAACTTTTAGTCACTCGTCCCATTATATCCTGACAGTAGAACATGAGACTAGTGCTCCTAATGGTATTTGCAAGAATCCACCGGACTGAACGAAACTAACCAATCAGAGCAGAGAGAGAGAGTTAATTGCTGAGTCTCATTCTCTGGTCATCACTTTGGGCTGGTGGCTTGGTTGTTCTCATTCAGGCCCAGTGGATTCTTGCAAATGCCATTAGGAGAACTAGGAGGAGCCAGAGGAACCAGATTTTTCCCACAGTCTTATGTGGAAAGACTGTCTACTACTGTCAGGATATAGTTAACGTTTCAGCAAATATGATCAAATATTTCATAAAAGCTACCAACTGCAGCTTTAAACAACATGCACCAACACACATCTACATCACTAACTCTTAAACTAAACATCTGCTATCATGAATTATTAATGCTCTGATTTGACTCTGTGGGATGGATGATACTCACTAAATTATAAAATATATAGGAGACACATGTGTCCAAACATCTGGCTTCACCCTTGACATTTGCTAACTAACTACTCTACTGTGTAAGTCACATGTTTGCCTTGTGAGTTACAGTCAGCAAACAGTTAATGAACTTCACATGGTCTAACAGGAACACACTCCAGTGAGCAGTACACCACTCTACTATGTGCCAGCATTATATAGAGCTTTAAGCCAATCACAGCCGTTCAATCTCTTCCTCTGTGCGGGAATTAGGTTGATAAGTTTACCTGTGCAGTGGCATAGTTGAGAGCTGCTGATGGTCCGTACTCCATGCTTTGAAAAATGTCGTGCACTGCCTTGATGGTGCTACCAGCCATAATAGTTACAAGTCAGAGAGGACGCAGATCCCTCAAGCCGCAATGTCTGTCCGTTCCGGGTGAGAATCTTGACTTTGAGGCAGGAAGTTAGAGACTAAAGAGAAAAGGCTGGCAGGAAGGCGGCTGAAGTCCCACTCCACGTCAGATGCAACGTGCTGGCTTCCGTCCCACTATAAACCCTGAGACTGTAGAGACTGTAGAGACTGGGCGCTGTGGAAATGGATTTGCAGAGATACATTGACCGAGGATGAGCGAGAGGTTTCCCTCCTGCTTACTTCCGGAGTTGTGTCTGGTTTCTTGGGTTCGTTTAGACTGGATTTATGCAAACAACGCAGTGTTTACTGGTTTTGGAAGCTACAGAAAGCAATTTTAGACCAATATTTATTAAAAACAATAATTAAAAAAAACCCTTATTGGGTACACTTATTGGCGTTTAGCTGGTGGTTCCGGTCTGAGTTACGTAATACCTCATGAGTTTGAATAAACATAGACAATATATTATTTTTTGTTAACTACCCTATTGTAACTGTTCATTCATTCTTTAAAAATATAAAGTTTAGATCATTCACTTCACAGAGTTTACTCTGTTCCGCTCGTTCGCACTGAAATACGACTGTAGCTATCAGAAGGAGAGGGCAAACCACAGCCGTATGTTCCACACGGAGGCATTTGGTCAACGGACCCCAAAAACCTAACGAGCTTGCGCTGTACTTACAAGGAAGTGCAGAGAACTGGTGCGCGTTTTTCCAGCTAAGTTGGCCCATATCAAAAGCTGATTATTATCGGATCTTATCATTGATACGAGCTGAGGTCGACTGTTCTCACAGCACGGTGTGATAATCTGCCAGAGGCGACGCGGCCCCGGTTCGAAGATGCCCCGCAGGAAGGTAAGGCAGCCGTTAGCTGCAGCCGTTAGAGCAGACTGCAGATCGGACACACAGCAACCTGACGTCGTAGCTAATGTTAGCCAGCGTACAGGTACAGATCACCGCGGATAAACCTCTCTGCCAGCTGAAATGCGACTACGAGCTGCCGTTCATAAGTTGTGGATGTGTGCTGAATGTTAATGTTGCTAGAAGCACTCCACTGTTTGTGTTGTGCTAAGGGCTACGCTAGCTAATGTTTATTGCTGAGTGGCGAGATTGTGCTGTTATGTATCAAGTGTCGCTTTCTCGGGGTTATAGCTAGTAAGAACTATTGAGATCTGAACTGAGGTCAGATTTGTACACGCTGGTGGGGAGCGTGTATAGGTGCTGAGCTCCGTTATGGTCGATAAACACAGCTAACAGTTAGAACTGGAGGAAAGGAACAGGCTGTTCTTTGAGTGCGAGGACGGAACGAAGCGTCTGCACCAAAACAACGCTGTGATTGGACCGAATCGAGACAAGGGTGGCGCTCATTGGTCCGGCTCCGTCAAACCCCGCCCCCTCCCTAATGTAATTGGTCGTATGTAAATGAAGTGCTCAGCCTCTTGTTGTGATCTTGTCAAATACACTTGGATGAAATGTGCGCTTGTGGGCCATGCTGATATTTCTGTTTACTTGTTTATTGTTTGTTACTGTATTTTAGTTATTTTTTTATTTCTATTAAAAGCAAAGTAGTCTAATTGGGATGTTAACATTATTTTGAACATATACCACACACAGTAAATGCACATTAAAGCACTTTACTATGTACACTGACATATGGTATTGTATTGATTCATTTTGTTTTCTATTTAATATATTTATTTTGTATCTATATTAACAATTATTATGCAATTGTAACACCTAAATTAATTTATTTTATGTTATTCCTTGGATGTCCCTTTGTAAGTTATTGTGACATATGGAGAAATTTGCTAAATAAAATAAATAAAATGAAATGTGCATATTATTCTTTCACCATATCAATTAATGTGGTAGAAAATGTAGGTAGGACTTTAATATCACACTTTGGCTGTTATTACAGAGGATGAAAGGGGAACCATATATTTGTTCAATGCAAATGGTATGTTGGCTTTACTTGAGTGCCCGTACCCCACCCCCACCCAGCCGGGTTCTGGTCCCCCTCAAACCGCTCAGCATCACCCCTTTCACTCCGTGCAGCAGGCAGCTACAGGGCAGCCTGCAGTTTGGACCCACTGTGCAGCAGTTAAGGGCCATTTCATTCACTCCATTTGTCTAGCTGAGCTGTTAGGCGGTCTTGGCGACAGTCTCCTAAACAATTAGCCGACTGAACTGACTATAAACTGGAAATACAGGCAGGAAGGTGCCCTCCCCCGCGGGCGTTGAGGCCAACTGGGGTTGGTACAATAGGTGCAGTTGGCGTTGTCAGGGCCGGGCCCGTGGTGATGGCGTTCAGGCTGGTTTCGAGTATTTATTAAGTCCACCGTGACGACGCGGTGATGCGCCTCCCCGAGTATGGGCTCTTTGTTGAATTATCCGCTGGTAAAAAAACAACAACAACACACAAATATTTACCTAATTGAGTCTGACAGACTTTCTCTGACTGGTCTGAGGCGGTTTCGGTCACTGTCCGGACTTGAACTCACTCGCTCGCTGATAACTGTGGTTGTGGTTTCCAGAGGACCGCTGGCAGCAGCTCGGACGGGACGGAGGACTCGGATTTTTCCGCCGACCTCGAGCACGCCGAAGCTCCCGAGAGTGCGCGCAGGCGCAGCAGCACGCGCCTGACTCGCGCTTCACTACGCCTCAGCCAGAGCTCACAAGGTACGTAAATCAATTATTGTTATTGATTATAAGTATGATTATTGTTATCACTCCATAAGTTGCAGATTTAATTGGATGTATAACAACAAACAAGCCAGCACTTTTAGTTTTAACCACGTGTTTACTGGCTTTGTGAACTGTGAACTAACTAAAAGTTAGAAGTACAGTGTTCTTGACATTTTTCCTAGTTGGTATAATTAAACCTATTTATTATATTCTGCTCCTCTTCAACATCTTTGGTTACATGCTTCTTTTAATCATACTTATTTTATCATACAAACAAAAAATATTATCAAGCCAGACATTTCTGCACACCCTATGATTTGATTTCTATGTGTCATCTGAATGAGGAAGGACCACAGAGAGACTTCCAACCCCCCTCACTCCAACAGTTCAGCAGTAGCTATTATACACTGGCAGCCTGAATGGGTTCAGACAGCCTGACCTCCCCCCACCACAGACACATAAACTCTCCTCCCACCCCCTGTGTGACCTCTTTCTGCTGTGGCTGCCAGAGGGGATTTACAGCAGAGAAAGAAAGGCTGACACTGTTTCCTCTGCTTTTTGTCACGGAGAGAAGTTGGCTACATTGTCGTAGTCCTCACACAGGCTTAGAAACAGCACAGACGCTAGTTTTCTCCACAAAGAAGTGGATTCAGAGGTTGACTCTTCTTTTCTGTGGTAGGTTTCAGTCTCTTCATAACCACTGAGGCCACTCGCAACAAGTAACTCTTATCACCTTCTTACTATTTTTGCTTGGGGGTTGTCCAGTTAAAGACTGCTCAGGTTTAAGAAATCAGTCTAGAATTAGATTTTTAATGCATTTGTCGAGTAGATTTAGCAGTTTTCTGATAAATTAATTTCATTCCATGTACACAATCAAGTATTGCTGCATCTGACAATTATTGTCATTATTTAATCTGACGTCACCAAATTGCTAATCATCCGAAACCTTAAAGACGAATCAGCATCAAATTCTCACAATTTAAAAGCTGGAACTACGAAATGTTTGTATTGTTTGCTTGAAAAATTAAATGAATGCTCAATTGGTGATCAAAGTAGTTGCGAATGGATTTGTTCCAACTCTGCACTGAAGTCAGCTAGACTATAACTCCTGTAAAAATAACTTTTGGTCATTTTTGCTGTTTCACTATATCCTGACAGTAGAACACGAGACAGATAATCTGTGAAACAATCAGGTTCCTCTGGCTCCTCCTAGAGCTCCTAATGGTATTTGCAAGAATCCACTGAGCCTGAATGAAAACAACCAATCAGAGCCATTTTTTTAGTCTCATTCCCAGGGTCCCAAAGTGTCTGTGTTTGACACCCTAGGAATGAGACTCAACAATCAACTATCCTTGTCTGTCTTGTGTTCTACTGTCAGGATTTAGTTAAAGTCTCTGCAAATATGACAAAAAAGATTTTTTATAAAAGTTACCTCCAGCAGCTTTAAGTTGAAGTATTAGCAGTAAAATGTGTCCAAATAAAGTCATTATGTAGTATGTTTATTTAAGTGTATTCATCTTTAATCAGTATGTTAATGTTTTAGGTAGTCCAAATAAGGTCAGATAAATTTGGATTTTACTGCATTTTATTACATTGTATTTTTTGTATGTAAAACCATATTTGAAATCATTCAGTAATCTCTTCTCTTCTTTTCTCTTCTCTTCTAGATAACTGCAGCTCAGTACGGACCAGTTCTCCTGCACCCGTGGGTCCTGACGAAGGCCTGGATTCAGCAGCAGAGACGGCAGCAGCAACAGCAGTGGCAGCGTCCGTCTTCTCATCTGGGCGCAGGGTCACACGCAGCCAGCAGGGGGCGACAAACACTGCAGCCAAAAAATACCCACTGCGTCAGAGCAGGTCGTCCGGCTCAGACACTGAGGCTAATGGTGAGAGCGAGTGTTCCCCTGCATGTCTTAGAACATTACATTAGGACTGCTTTCAACTTTTTCTTACTGAGAGGACGGAAAGGACGAAAGGGAGAGTAAGAGTGATGAGCACAGTTGAAAAGGAAGTTGGAAGGGCAGAGAAAAGAAGGAATGATGTGAAGATGAGGTGGACAGGAAGGGTAGGAGGAGGAAGGGCGTCCATCTGCATGTTTCATTCATTTATTGTAGTGCTGTTTAGCTAATGCCATAAGCCCCGTCTGTGATCACAGTGTGTTCCTGATTATAAAGAAGACTAATATGTCTGAGTACATATCCGTGACTTGTGTTTTGTCACTGGGATGAATGAATTACCTTACAGAAACCAGGATCTGTTGTCCAACTAAAGACACTGTAGGAGGTGGTGATCTGTATCCATTAAAGCACATAGATCTGTGCTTAGATTGTTTGCTTATTCAATTTTATAATTTATTACCTTAACATTGAATCATACTGTGAAACAATATTAAGAGTGATGCAGTGATACACAGTTAATTTAATTCAACATGTTCAACATTTGCACAATACAAGATTCTAACAAATTAAAACCTAAGGAAAGAATCAAACATAAGGAACAGATGTGCATGTAAAGTCAAACAGCCAAGAGTAGCAGTGTTTATCTACAATCTTTCTTGGTGGTCCCAGCAATATTTGTTCTGAAAGTATACTAATGCTACTTTAGTATACTTTCATCACATGACATGGTTAGAAAAATAATTTCCATATCTTAATATGTTTGATGTCAACTATTCTAATTATCTATTAACTCCCTGTCCTCTTTTATTTGTTTGAATCTGTGGGATGTTTCTAGTTTTTCTCTGACTAGCTCTGTATCAAGAGTTTTATTAAGAGGGATTTGTCTGACTAATTGTTATTTGGTGTGCTTTAAACTGTGCGTTCTTGGCACATGGAGAGCTATTTTCTCTCCTCCCCTGCTCTCTGCTGGACTTTTGCAGTGTGTAAACATCGTCTCCACTTCTCACAGCAGTAGCTTGTGTGTGGTTTTCCAGTTTTATCCCCTCATTGTAGACATCAGGTACTGTACTGTCTGTGCCACGTGTGCCTGTAGGCGTACAGTGTATGGACTGGTTATTGTTTTCTCATGAAGTGGCTGTGTTTTTGGGCTTGTGAACACGTACTTTGTGGGCATAGACTAAAAGTCTACCGTGTTGCACAAGTGAGGGATGAACATTGCCTATACCTATACTAAACTAACATTTACGCCTATTCATTTTGGAAAAGCAATGGTCAAAGGGGAAGCTAAATCCACTGAGTCAGAGCTTTGCTGCAGTCCAGCCAAGAAGAAAAAAATCAGCCTCAGGAAATGCCATATTATCATTATTCCTATAGTCAAGTGGAATCAGTTTTCACCTCTGTGTGCCTTTGTTGACTTGTCTACCTGCAGGGTTTCTGAAAGTTAGTTAGGCTTGATGTTTTGGGGTGTGACGAAGCATTGGTGGAGGTTTGCCTGAGGTTTCCCGACTGGAAAAATAGGAAAGGAAATGTGTTGCAAGAAGTCCTCCCATTCACCATCCAACCTCTCTGAGCTCAAACACTGGTCTTCTGCTGCAGTATCATCAGTCTTTACTATTGGATTTCTCTGCTGGCAGCCACTGCTGGAGGGTGTTAACGGCATCTGTATGTGGTCACGTTGGCCTACATGTAAAACATGTGGCATGACATGGCTACGTAGGGGTAGATACAGCTTTTTAATTACATGTTTTTCTGTCAGTGGTGTTACTGTTGCTGTGCTGCTGTTGTCCAGCCCACAGTAGTTGTATTTAGTCTGCCACTTGTTACGCTGCATAAATATGAAGGACAAAAAATAACAGTATAAAGTATAAGTAAAATAAAATATTTTAAAATATCATACAATATTAAAATAAATTTAAAAAATGCAGAAATAAATCATTATGTTTGTATTTATTTCTACATTCATGCTTGTATTTATAAATGTATTTATACATTCATGAAAATGACTATTTCTATATTTCTACATTTATGTATTTATTTATGCTTAGGTCATTTTCTGTCCTGGAAAAATAGTTCCACTCCCCATTACTGAATAATGCCTTTAAAGTTAGATTGTTAGGGTGCATGTTAATGTTTTTCCTTTTCAAAAGGCATGGGATTGCAAGTTTTTACCCAGCATTCTTGTAATTATTCCCCCCATTCCCTTTGTCCCGATTGGCTCAGCAGACCTGAAGCAGGGGGCAGACCGGGACGAGACCCCTCCTCGCACCCCAACAGGAAACGCCCCATCCTCTGAGTCAGACATCGAGGTGTCCAGCCCTAGCAACGACCTTGTGTCCTCTAGCAACGATATTGTAGTTTCACAAGAGGAGGACGAGAGATTGGCCAAAGAGCTGTCGCTCAAAGAGGCCGCCGCCCACGACCTCTCCCATCGGCCCAAACGACGGCGCTTCCACGAGAGCTACAATTTCAACATGAAGTGTCCCACACCTGGGTGCAACTCACTGGGTGAGGGCACAAACACTGTGTTTTTCATTGGATCAGATGTCCTGCTCCTATGTACCAACCTGAGCTCTGTTTCCACCCCTCTCTACCTCCTCCTTTCTCCCCTTTTTCTACCAGGTCATCTAACAGGGAGGCATGAGAGACATTTCTCCATATCGGGATGTCCTCTCTACCACAATCTCTCTGCCGATGAATGCAAGGTACACACACATACACACATGCAAACAACAATATCAACAGGCACTGCAGGTCAAGAGTGTGGAACCATGACGCCAAATGCCATTTTAAAACATCTGACCATTTTATGTATTGTTACATATACACTGGAGTAAAATATGTTACATGTTTGCATTTTTTTAGCTTTTTATAATATTACTCATTAATCAAACCGAGTGTCCAGTGGATGGAACTGATGGAGACCAACAGACTGTAATTGAAGTTGTCAAGCTGTGAAGCCTCCAGGAACAATGGGGTTTTTCTTGTGATTTTTCTGCTGCGGGGGTGGTTGTAAGTTGTTGGTGGTAGACAGTGTTGATGTTTTGTTAGGGCAAGGCATCGACGCGCGACAAACAGGCTGAGGAAAGGACGCTGTCGCACCGCCAGGACGAGAACAGACACTCCACAAGAAACCAGGTAACATACTTGCATAGAGATATGAACATGGGCATCAAACAAGCATAACACACGTTGACACATGCTCACACCTAGAACAGACAGATATACACATATACTGTCTTTCTGTAAGGGTACAGAATATCTGGAAAACGTATTCTCTTTATCATCTGGGTGAAGGTGAAGGCTGTGACCCGACTCGATTTCACCTGTCCAATTCACTTCATAAGAATCTGAGGGTGTGTTTTTTTGTGTGTGGGTGTGTAGGTGTGTATTGAAGGGAATTCCCACACACTGCAGCATTACTCTTAAAGCACTGACACCTCAGGTCAGAGATCACACTGATTCCTGAGTGTAGCACGACCAGAGTCTAAGTGATGAAGGGCTGCTGTAGGTTGAATCACAGTGTGTGTAAAAGGATTCCTGCTCACAGTGCTCATTGATGAACAGAGAAAAGACAGTAAATGAGCCAGAGTTACGCTAAAAGGCATCCATTGTCCCTGGCCAGATGTTAAAAAGTCTCCCTGAAACTGAATAAAATGACATCTTATAAAATGTATATACACAAGACAATAAATATGCATAAAATAGCACATTGCACATCCACCGAAAAGTAATGCCACAGTATAACACATGGTTGTTAGCTGCAAGCCATACCTAATAAGTCCGGAGAAAGAAAAACATGAAAGGGCATGAATAACAGAGGACTGATTAGTATTATCTCTGCAATATTAACATATTTATCACATTTTCCCCAGCTCTGGGTGTTAGACTTATTAAAAATGGGACAGCTCTGCAAAGGTGGAGTATATTCATGTAAATTTTGTTAGCTTGTGGACACAAGCTTGTTAGACAACATGAAATGTGGGATTCATAGCATTCATATATAACATAGCTGTTATATATATATATATATAACATAGCTGGAGATCATTGAGATTCCTACAAATCTATGATTATCTGCCTCTAAAATCTAAAACCAACTTATTTTTTGACATGAGATAGAAAGGAGGGATTTGAATAGATTTAGACACTGATATGGACATATTATAACTGGTACAGGAGTGGTACATGGCCTTTTTAGAAGCACATACTCTACAGATTTTGTATCAGTGAACTTAAAGGTCCAGTGTGTAACATTTAGCAGAATCCATTGTCAGAAATGGAATATATATTCATAGGTACGTTTTCATTAGTGTATAATCACCTGAATATAAGAATCATTGTGTTTTTGTTACCTTAGAATGAGCAGTTTTTATTAACAGACATCATGGGTCACCTTCCATGGAGGCTGCCATGTTGAACCATGTTTCCACAGTAGCCCAAAACAGACAAAACCAAACACTGGATCTAGATAGGGGTGAAGCAAGTGAGTTGCAATCTGCAACTACCCTGCTAGACATCACTTAATCCTACACACTGGACCTTTAAATGCTCATTGCATTAGTAGTTTGGAAGCAGGTTGCTGTCTGTGCAACCATGTGTATAAATCACTGCATCATCACCATATGGCTGGATCTCCTCAGTCAGAAGGCAAATCATTTATATACAGACTACATAATTGGTCCGAGTATAGGTGTGGGATGCCGGTACAGATGTGAAAGTGATTGATTATGAACCTTCACATTTGTGTTGCTGTTTAAATTTTACCAAGCAGTGATACACTATCAATACTAGTAAGATAGAGGTTAATATTACTCAGAAACACATTATCTATATTATATACATAACACATATTATTCACATCTTTACCATTAGAGATATACATTTAAGATAGTGATCTCTTTTTTGATCTACTATTATCAATTCATAAAAGGTAAAGGTGTCAAAAAATCTCTTTGTGGTCTTAGGCCCCTACAGATCGTCAGCTGCGCTACAAGGAGAAGGTGACGGAGTTGAGGAGGAAGAGGAACTCCAGCCTCAATAAGGATCAGAAGGAAAAACACATGGTAAGTGGGTGAGAATGCATGTTTTTACAACCTTCCTCCTGCATATACTTCTCGTATCATATTTTCAAAGCCTTTTCTGCTTTTCCTCTTTCCCACCTCTACTGCCAGGACCACCGTCAGAGCCACGGAGCAAGCAGGGAGCCGCTGCTGGAGAACATCACCAGCGACTACGACCTCGAGCTGTTCAGGAAAGCGCAGGCACGTGCCTCGGACGACCTTGTAAGAGAGAAAACTCATCATCACCTCCCTCCCTTACTCTTCTCTCCTTCCCTTTCTTTTTTGTACCCCCCTCTTTTCTGCGTTATTCCTCTTCTTCTCTGTTTCAGTCAGCAATCCCTCCTCTGCAGCCACAGGAGGAGTCTGAGATATTTTTGGTAGTTTGGACAATCACTTCCTGTTATTCTGTGCTCTGTTACTTTGTGATGCATTCAGATGAGAAGGTATTGCTGTTTTCAATCAGGTTCACTTTAAAAAAAATCACATTGATGGTTTTATATGCGCAGGCAAAAAAAAAAAAACAGTGAACAGTGAAAATTTGTTTACACACTGTCTTAAATGATATTAAATTCACTTGCCCCCAATCCAAGGCCTTAAATTATGTTTACATTATTTCAGTCTTAAATTCAGTTTAAAATCAGTGATGTTGAAAATGCGGTGCTACCAAAAGTGCAAAATATTTCTTCTTCATCTAAATTTTCTAATGTATTTTTTTGTTTTTCATGGCTGGTTCCCTCCACTGAGGTTTTTCTAAGTGTGATATTTGGTTCAACTGATCCTCTTCCCTGAATAACTAAGATCTCTCCTCTTTCTCCCCTCTCCCCTCTGCCTGCTCGTTCGCCCTCTCTTCTTGTCCTCTTTGTGCCTTTTCACCTATCCCCATCTCCCTTCCCCTCCCATCCTGGCCTGTACAGGAGAAGCTTCGTCTGGCTGGCCAGGTATCGGAGGGCAGCAACATGATAAAGACCATTGTGTTCGGTCGCTACGAGCTTGACACCTGGTACCACTCTCCGTATCCAGAGGAATACGCCCGCCTGGGGAGGCTCTACATGTGCGAGTTCTGCCTTAAGTATATGAAGAGCCAGACCATTCTGCGCAGGCACATGGTAAGGCAGCTTTTTCTATTTGGAGGGGTATCTACAGTTCCCTAAAAAAATTGAGAATGACTGTGTTACATGTACTGCTCTGCTTTTCTAATTAACTTTCCACTAGATGTCGCACTAGAGCACCAGCATCTAAGACAAAAACAATGTGTACTACAGCTGACCGACTCCATTGACAAAACCAGTAATTTTACTGAAGAGATTATTCTGAAACACACTTCAAACTGAATTGAAACAAAATAAAACTCACCTAAACCGGCTTTTGTTAGTCTTTCCAACAATCACCAACGCTGGTTTGCACAAAATAATTAGGGTTCCCATACATCCTGAAAAACCTGTAAAATCTGGAAATTAAAGACTAGTTTTCCAGTCATGGAAACACCTGGAATTCGATTAAAATGGCTAAATGGCAAATGGACAGTCCAATCAGGTTCATTTTTATATGGGTCTTAAAACCTTACTTTCAATTCCTCCTTCTTCCTTTATACAGAATGAGGCTAATAAAAAAACTTCTAGAGCTGTGTTCAAAACAGAAACAGTTTTGGAGACTTTTACCTAAATTCAATTCCAGTTGGCATTAAAAAATTAAAAAAGTAAAATTTGGTGTCGTGATGGATCATGTGATGGATTTACTTTCATTTCTCCTGTAGACTTAGTATTTATAACAGAAACAGGGCTGTATTATGGAAACAAATACCATCTACACCAACCACACTGTAAAAAAAAAAACAGTTGAGAAAACTAAAACTAAAACATTTCAAACCAATTCTTCCAGGTGTGGTTAGGCAGAGGTACTTATCTACCTAAAATGTGTCTGATCGATATCCAAAAAGACTGAAGCCGCCATTCATTGATGTTGACGTATTAAAGTGAAAATGGACTGTGGCACAAAATGAGTCAGGGCTATTGCCTTAGTTCAACTGTAACCTCACTATCTTAATGCCTCAGGCCATTCATAATTGTATTCCTAGACCATGCAGACTCTATTTAGATAGACTATATAACTTTGCCCTTCTGATGCAGTTCACACTCTTTCTGTACTGGAGTGAGAGGAACAGGAAGGGGAACTGTACTAGGTGCTCCACTGAGGGACTGAATGCTTGGAGCTGGGATTTCAAATGCATATATGGCCACAACACTGTTATCTGTGGAAATGTTTGCAATTAAACATACTGAAAACATGCATGGTTTTACACATAAAGGTCTGTCAGAGATGAGGGCAATTATCAGGCACAGAGGATCCCGTGTTTTTTGAGCTTGGCTCATACTTGGGATTAAAAGTCAGAATATCTCTGCCTCTTTTGCTTTGACCATTCTTTTAAATCTGTCTCTTGTGAATCCCTAATTTTATTTACTGTGCTAACCTTTTAAGCCTGGTCACTTTAGCCTTTAAGATTTAACCTTAGGAGTTTAGTCTAGAATGACTGATACAAAGTGAAATGTTTCTAACTTGTATATAAACTAACCTCTGCTGCTTTGTCTTGTCACTTACATAAAGGCCAAGTGTGTGTGGAAGCACCCTCCAGGTGACGAGATCTACAGGAAGGGGAACATCTCTGTCTTTGAGGTGGATGGGAAGAAGAACAAGGTAAAAGCGCCGCCGACTCCCCCTGACCTTCCCCAAGAAGGTCCAGGCATAATTTTTTGTATTCTTATCCTTTAGGTTCTCTAGTATTCAAGTGTGTAGGATTTAGTGGCAAATAGCAGTGTAGTTAAATATTAATAAAACCAGCAACAAGCAGCTTAGAGCTTAAGACAGTGTGACATTGTAACTGTAGTAGGAAGGGTAATAATTCAACTATTCAACTACTAATTCAAATTCTCCACCCTGACGGTGCGCGATTGCCCATAAGGATTACATTGTAGCCTGTTCACAGCTACCGGCTGCAGCTCTCTCACTCAATACTAAACCAAATTTAAAACTTGTTGCTAAGTCACTAGTCTAGTCACTAGTCACACATAGGAAAATAGTGTCCAGGTTATTACCAAAGTTACCCTTCAAGGAAAACTGATGATACCTTGAAGTAAATTTTTTCTGATTGACTGTGAATATAAAAAGATTAGCCAGCTGTGTTTCCTGTAAGCTCTGATAAATTACAATGCCTTTGGTGCTTTTCCTCACAGATTTACTGTCAGAACTTGTGTCTCCTGGCGAAACTCTTCCTGGACCACAAGACTCTGTATTACGACGTTGAACCATTCCTCTTCTACGTCATGACTGAAGCTGACAACACAGGGTGCCATCTAGTCGGATACTTCTCCAAGGTAACCTGGTAGACAACAACTGGATTACTACAAAACTGCCCAGTGTTTTGGAGTATTTGGCTAACTTTTTAGAAGTTAGTGAATATAAAATAACTTCACAAATTGTTAGTCTTCAAAGAACTGAAATATACCATGTATTTTCTAACTACTGTATGTGTACACATTGGATCATCAGCTCAAAATATCAGTATCTTCAAATTCACTAATATCAGTGCTGATAAAAACACACAACAGTCAAACCATCATGTTTACTGATTTTTTGTCTTCCTGCAGGAGAAGAACTCTTTCCTGAACTACAACGTATCCTGCATCCTCACCATGCCACAGTACATGAGGCAGGGCTACGGCAAGATGCTCATAGACTTCAGTGAGTATAAACACCCGATGTGTGTATCCCTCGTGCATCTTTTATGTTCTTTAGTCACATACTTTTTTTTTTTTTTTACAGATTTAGGAGGGTGTCTGAAGCACTTATTATATTTCTGTATCCTTATTTCTGTTCTCTCCGTGGAAGAAAGAAATGCAAAAGAGAGAGTGCAGCCAACAAAAAACTCTGTCTGATCTGTCCTTTCAGGTTACCTGTTGTCCAAGGTGGAGGAGAAGGTGGGTTCACCTGAACGTCCCCTGTCTGACCTGGGCCTTATCAGCTACCGGAGCTACTGGAAGGAGGTGCTGCTGCGCTACCTGAACAACTTTCAGGGCAAGGAGATCTCCATCAAAGGTCAGAACTGGACTGCATTCTCCAGAAGGCTGGAAAGAGGTGTGGTGGGCAGTGGTGCATCCAGATCTCAGAGTAATTGTTGGCCAAGTAATTAATTCGAGGGAAAACCCCATAAATTAAAGAGTTAGCTGTTAACTAAATTATATGACTGTACTGTGATGAAACATATCAGTGCTGGTGTTCATATTGACTTTCTTTTATGAAAAAAAGCATTTTCCGTTGGAAGTTTGGGACTACTTTACTTCATGACATTTATACAAAAAGAGTGTTAATGCCCTTTAATCAGAGGAGGAAAGCCCAAAAGAGGCCAATAATGTGTGTGTGTGTGTGTGTGTGTGTGTGTGTGTGTGTGTGTGTGTGTGTGTGTGTGTGTGTGTGTGTGTTGTGTGTGTGTGTGTGTGTTAATATTTGCATGCATGCATTCATGTGTGTCTGCCTCAGTGAATTCAATTATATTATTCATTTTATTTGTATAGCGCCAATTCATAACGAAGTTATCTCGGACACTTTTCAAATAGGCAGGTCTAGACCGAACCTTTAACATTAATTACAGAGACCAGCACTGAATGAATCCGAGAGAACTGAGGCCACTCCAGGTCAGTGTTTCAGGTGATGAATGAAGGTGGAGGCACACGAGACATAAACTGGGTCATCCTAAACACATTCAGAGGGCCGAGGGAACATCCTGCTTAGTCAGTTTTGCTTTCCTGGTTGTATCCATTCCAGTGGAAAGCCCCTGCGACTGTGATGAAAACAAAAACAAGACTGAGACTCCACAGCCAGACTAGCAGCTCTGCAAGGCACAGCGGGGGGTCTGAGTGCAAAGCTACCCGTCAGTATGCCATCTTGTTCACACTAAAAGTGGTGATGTTAAGCAAGTCTTCACACATACCGGACAGCCTCTCTGAGCCATTAACTTAGCTAGAGCACAGCCACTAGCTTAGCTAAAACACAGGTACCACACAGGAACCTTTACAAACAGCCACGAATGTGCTTCTAATGACTTTAACACTGCTATTATAAATTGCTCACTGCTGCTGTTGTCACACGTTTTATTGTGCGTCATCTGTCACTCAACTGAATCATGCGAAAGCAATGGAAGGAATGTGTACTGCTGGTCTGGTGTGAGTGCACCCACTTGTAAAAATATTGCATTGTTAGAATTGAATTCACATTTTCTCAAGCTGAATGGAGTTAAATCCTTATTTTTCTGGTTCCCTGCCTCTCACTGAGAATTCATGCAGTTCTTATAAAATATGGACTGGCGGGAGTTTTAGCATTTAAAGTCTTAAATGATAATTGACCCCCTGTGACAGCACTAATTATACAGTATGCAGTGTAGGTATTCTCATTATTTAGTTGATCATCATTTCAGTTGACAACTACAACTGACTAAGACACAATATTGCACTTGGTTTTAGTTACTGTTACAAATAACTCAGACTCTCTGCGATTCAACAATCTCTTTGTCACAATAAATAAAGAGGTAGCGAGAGCCTCCAGTAATAGACGGGTCAGGCAGCAACCATGACAGTGTGACAAACTGAGAATAGTTCAGTCATAACACTCTGTTCCCTCCTGTCCACGTCTCTTTTTGTCCTCCTTTTCTTTTGAGTTTCTATTGTATTTTATTTTGTTCAGATTTTTGCATGTTATTTTGAATTTAGGAAGATGTTTTCAGCTCGCACAGTAATATAAATAACCCTTCTAAATCATTCGAGTCTGCATGCAAAATGCGTTCTCAGTGTACTCTGCTATTCTCTGCCATGCCTGTAGATATTAGCAAACATTGTACTAAGTGGGATTTGTCATCACAAGCCTTTTGATTAGTCCTAACTCTGCCAATGTGTTTGCACATTTCATAAAGAATGACTGCGGTCATGCTTTATCTAACTTTTCATGATGTTGAGTGGTTTTTCCGTTGCATAGAAACAGCATAATCTGGTTTAGCACAAATAAATTGAAGTCTTAAAGGACAACGCAGCAGCTCAGCACTTCATGTTTACTGACCTCAGAGAATAAGCTAAGCTAACCTGCTGCTGACTGTAGCCTTATACTTACTGGATAGATATGAGAGTGGCAAAAAAAAGTGTCCAACTTATTTCTTCTGTCCCTGTCATTGTGAGCATGTTAGAATGCTGACGTTTGCATGCAGCTCACAGAGACGCTATCAGGACTGTCTGATTAAGAAGACTCTCTTAATCAGACAGTCCCATCCCTCTGACCTCCTCCATGTCCCTCTTGTGTTCACAGAGATCAGTCAGGAGACGGCAGTGAACCCAGTGGATATTGTCAGCACGCTGCAATCCCTCCAGATGCTCAAATACTGGAAGGGAAAGCACCTGGTTTTAAAGAGACAGGTAAGATACAAAACAATGAAATTCAGAATACTCACGCTGTTGATTCCGTTTGGTAGAAAATCAAACCATTTTAGCTTTCTTATATAGCACTGAATTGGTGTAGCCAATCCAACTAATGTGCATTTTCTTTCTATAGGACCTCATTGATGACTGGAAGGCCAAGGAGACCAAACGTGGTAATGGCAAGACCATCGACCCCACAGCCTTAAAATGGACACCGCCTAAAGGGACATAGAGGAGCCTTCTTTCACACTCCAAAAAAACGTACACAGACAGATCATCCTCCTCTGCACACTGGCATGCTCACAGACCCTGAGCCTAAACCCTCTCTCCACACACACACACACACACACACACACACACACACACACACACACACACACACACACACTCAGTCAGTCACTTACAGAGTCAGTTGTCACTCTGGGTTTAGCAGTCACTGTCACGGTTCAGAAAATCAAAAATTTTTTGGGACATAACACAAAATAGAAGAACGTTAGGTAAATGCTCCTAATACAGGAATGAAGTGTATTCAGTGTTTAAAATCTGACTATGTGGAGTCAGTATGTAAGCTCTGGCTCTGCAGAATGTGTCAGAGTTGCCATCAACGGCCTGGGGGGGGGGGCTTCATTTAAAATAAACACTTAAAATTAAACAGTGGTTTGTCCCTTCTGGGCTACTGTAGAAACATGGCAGACTCCATTAAAGGTGATTCACATATTCTGGTGATTACACACTAATGAAAACATACCTATGAATATTTTATATAGTTCTGCCAATATAGCCTCCTAAATGTTACACACAGGACCTTTTAAAATGATTGGTTCATTTAAAAATACATGCACTACTTCCCTTAGATGAAAAGCTGAAGTGTATGGAGGCCCAAAGTGTTTAATATTGACTGAATAAATATGAAATTATAATAATCACATGACTAAATGGTGTAAAACATACAAATTAAGTTTTAATAATTTCCTCAATTGTTGGTTCATTTATCAATTTATTCATGTGATTGTTATTTTTTTCTTCCTCTTAATACTTTATTTTTATTTCTTCAATATTGAGCCCTTTGGGGTTCCATAGAAGTGAAGCTGTAGTTTCCGGCTCCAACTAAGATTCGTGTCCAACATTAACATATGACTACACTGCAAAACAATGAGCTATGTAGCAGCCAGTGATGTCAGTCTACGCATATTTGATCACCGCTGTTATCCCCTCAACCTCATTTGTTTTCTGAAAAGTGAAAGTAATTGTGCGTGGTTAGTGCGCCTCCTCCCAGACACTTGATTAGCACGGAGCACCAGGCACACCCGCTAATCCAATCTGCAACAGCCGGTATTGACCCTGCGCCGCACTTCATTCTGTTCCCGAGACGGCCGAAACAACGCAGGTTGGCAGTGCATTGACTCATGCAACATGTTTTGGCAGACAAAGACCAGCTGGCTGTGATTAAGGCCTGGGCCCAAAATGCATAAAGTTCCTAGAAATAGGAGCCCTGACCTCGATTTACCACTCAGGTCACGTGACTAAATAGAGATTGTAAGATTGCAAGATTTGCAAAAAAAATTAGTGAAAACATGAGTAAAATATGACCTAGTATTAACGCCTGCAGACATCCGTTAGTTTGCAAGTTTTTACAATTTTGACATTTGAAATGTTTGACAGACCAGTGCACATACATTTTTCTGATGCTGACAGTGGCTGTTGGAACCCAGAGCAAGTCAGTCTCTCAGCGTCTCTACAAACACACACATTGTTCCAGTATTTAAGCAGTCAGACGGTTAGTGAGGAAGCTATAGCTGCCATTGGCCATGTTTGGACCGTGTTATGTCACCAGGATGGGACCTACCCGTTACCACCTGTCTTCCCTTCTTCTTTCAGCCTTTTATCTCAGTGACGGCTGTGTTGTCTTACGATGTCTGCAGTTATATTCTGAACAGCGGAGGCACACAGGGAAGTGTTGGAGCTCACAAACATGTTTTTTTGGTGTCCTTTTCTGTGATTTTGTTAAAGTTCTCGATGATATTTTATACTTTTTCTACCTCTAAGGTTTACCACTGTATAAAAGCTAGAATGGCACATTTTAAGCTTCTTTTATTTTCTTTTTTATTCGGTGTGTTAACATGTGAAACTTTGTAGCTGTGTTCAGCCAGTGTTTTTTTTTTTTTTTTTTTTACTAGATTTAAAAAAAAAAAGCTATTTATATTCTTAAAAAATATGTTAACTGCGTAGAGCGTAAAAAAGACAAAGTCTGGTAGAGCAGTGTCTACTCTATAGGACCGGCTTCCTTGTGAATATAAATATTTATCTCCAAATTTTATGTAGATTTGAATGTGTGTAGAAGCTCCTGAAAGGTACAGGAGGGAGAATCCAGGGCATCCCCCCACCAACAAAGACAATGACAGAAGTCATTTACATTTCAAAGATTTATCTCCTGTAATCAAAAGTGACACGATTGAATCAAAACATGTCACTTTTACACATTGTCACTATTTGTTACTACCATACTTGCTGCTGCAAGCGGTGAGGAAAATACAAGCACAACCTTTTTGTGTAAGACCACTAAACACGGTCGGCAGCATTTTTGTATTATTTTTTGTTCTTTACAGCCCAGTGTGTTTGAAGTTTTATTTTATTGACAATCTCCATATTTATTATTCGGATCAACATGTTTTTTTTGTAACCAGCTTTTAAGATTTGTTAAAGAAAGTGTTTTGGGAAATACACATATTTGTCTTGCAGAGAGTTTATTGATTAGAAGATTGATACCACCCTCGTGTCTGTATGCTACATATAAAGCTAGAGTCTGCAGCCTATGAGCTTAGCTTAGCACAAAGACTGGAATCAGTCAAGCCCCCCAGGAAGAGCGCCGGGCTTTGAAGCCAATTTGACATAGTGGCCAAACTGTGTAATTACAGCAATGACATCTGTCACATCATGCACACTGGCCCAAAATTATAATTAGCTTACATTGTGAAAGAAGCAGCTGTAAAATGGTGGATACATTTTTTTTAGCATCACCCCCCATGAAATCCAGTAGCTACATATATATATATATATATATATATATACACCACACAGTGAGTGTGGTATCAATCTTCTTGTCTATCTCTTGGCAAGAACGCAGTAATCTCCAAAATATTGAACTGTTCCTTTAAACATGTGTATAAGCTTAGACAGCAGTTGGCTGTGCAATCGGATGTTTGTGGCCAACAGTGTCCGATTGAATCAACTACTTCTTTATGTTTTATAGCTTTTGTGTCATATGTGGAGGAATATTGTTCCTTCACAGCCTAGAGTCACATTTGCTTTTCTCCTTTCATAGCATAACAAATATCGCCTTTAAATTCTGCAAGGTTGAAGATGCTTTTCTTCATGTTGTTTTCTTGTTTCTATAGCGATGTCTTCTTCCTGCCGTCTGTGGATTTATTTATCTGTGTTTTACATGTTTATATTTTCTATAATCCTGTGGTTGGTTTTCTTTCGGCTTTCATTTGGGCCTTACATGAAGGGGTTCAGGTGTCACGCTGCCTGGCAGACTTAAAATAAATAAAGGCCACTCATTTCAAAGGACTACATTTATCCTTTTAGCACCTGCTCTCAATAAACCTCTGAAACGTGCTACTGACCGAAATTACATGACGGTCGTGAGTTTGGACAGTGCTTTTTTTTTTTTGCCAATTCTTAAGTGCATTTACTGGAAAGTGCAATTACTTTTTGAAAGATTTTCAAAGGAAAAATCCATCCTAAAACACAACTCTTGATGATGATGTTCCATATGTGGCCAATTTAGGTGGAGGTCCCTCAGAATGAAAGAGGATGTGTGTCTTTTTAGGGCTGCTATTTTGTACCCGTAAAGGAAAAAAGAAAGTTTTCTATTCTCACAGTAGCAGGAAAGTGACTTTTCATGACTTAAATTGCAGCACTTAAACAGAGACCCCTAGAATGTGTTAATCATCACAAAGAGATCACATTTAATGTGTTTAAAGTGTCTGATAGTGTTTTCTTTAAATTAGCATTTTTTTGTAGAAAACGTGTGTCTTGACATTACAGTCCTTTTTCGTCTTGCAGTTTGTCTCTGTGCCAGTGGCAGCTATAGGTGGGCAGCTTCAGAGCACCATGCTAATGTGTCACAGTTACTTAGAGAAACCAGAGGCATCTCATCACCTTCCATAGGCCACCAGTGAGCTGTTGTACTACTGCGACCTGCTTCCTATTTAAACTACGCACTCAAAGCTGAGACAGACAAAAGTAGCGTGGCATTGATATGTAGCTCAGTTGCGCTTTTGTACTTGCTTCTCTCCTTTCCTTCCTCTTCAATAAATGCAAATGGTGAAACACATTGTGGGCTTTGTCTGATGTGTTGTTTGTTTGCTAGCTGTTTCCCCTGGCAACAGCATGACCGTCCCGAGTGGGTAAAGGATTGTTTGGGCCTGGTCAGTTATTATTAATAAGGAATGTATGGACAAATGGCTAACGAGGGAGGTGTTCTGCCTACCCCTCCTTTTCCTTCATGATCTGTCCTCCATGACCAGACGTCATGGTGGGATGTAACTGGATGACATGATGTGGCTCTCCAGATGTGAGCAGCCGTACCCCCCAAAGTGGACTTAAATGTGGTAACCACATGAAACTTAATTAACTAAAGCTGCAGTAGGTAACTTTTACAAGATAACATATTAATATGTTATATTTGCTGAAACTTTCACTATATCCTGTACTACATGAGACATAATCAGAAAAAATCAGGTTATCTCAGCCTGGGCTTGGAGACAGCAAACAAAGTCTGCATTGAAAGAAAACGGACAAGGAGGTTGACGTGGGTGTTTTATGAGGCAGGGGCTAATGCATGATGATGTTGGGTTGCATTATGGGAAAAGTAGTGTTTTACCCATACCAAGGACCTGAAACTTTTATGAAAATAACTTTTTGTCCTATTTGCAAAAATGCAACTTTATCCTGACAGTAGCAAGAATCCACTGGCCCTCAATGAAAACAACCAATCATAGCAAAGAAAGATATAAAGACGCTTTGGGTTGGAGACTTGAAGATAGTTGATTGTTTAGTCTCATTCCCAGGGTCCTAAAACATCTGTATTTGACAACCTGGAAATGAGACTCAATGATCATCTATCTTTCTGGCCTCTGATTGTTTCCTTTCGTTCAGGTTCGTGGATTTTAAATAAATCCCATTAGGAGCTCTAGGAGGAGCCAGAGGAACCTGATTGTTTCACAGATTATCTGTCTCATGTACTACTGTCAGGATATAATGAAAGTTTCAGTGAATATGACAAAAAGTTTTTATAAAAAGTGATTTTTTATTATTTTTAAAAACTATCCTTTTCCTAATGTAACACTACCCTAGCAAAAGTAAGAAACAGTGCAGGCAGAACACTTTTTTCCTCTTCAAATTTGACTTTAGAAATATGTATTTATTCAGAGCAAAAGCAAGTGCAAGTGACACCTATGTGAACAAAATATGGTTTTATTCATTAATCTGCCACATTAGAGCATAATTTCTCCCCAGTAAACAGTAAATTATTTGTCATGCTGGTCCATCCTCATGATACTGAATAATCCACTCACTGACTTTCCTTTACAGTAGCAACACAGAATAAAGACACACTTAGCTAATGTCATCAGCTTGAATGGATTTAATTGAAATGTGCAAACTCTCTTTAAAGACATAAGGGTTACAGGTACATTATAGTTTTGAATGTGACTAAATATTATCGATAACAATATAGATTATAGTTCAAAGGTGACGGATAGGCGATGATGATGATGATGATGATGATGGTGATATGCAGCATCTTAAATTAATCTGAGTTAATTGCAACAGGTGTGTAGACCATCTGTCCTGGTCAGACCGTGTGACACTCTACGTCCCGTTGATCAACAACATAGGACTGAACATGACACCGCAGTTCAATCTGAGCTTTGATTATGGTTGTTAAGGTGATTTTTTCATCTTTAGTAAGAGTCAGATTTCCATTCCTCCTCCATATCTGGAAAATAGAAGGGAAAGAGCTAAATGTTAGACTGAGGAGTTGACACAAAGAACAGACTCAAGAAGAATCAGTTTCCTGCACAAAAAATCAAAAAAGATTCCAGATTATCATTACACCATTTGCTGTAAATTTAAAATTCCATTAAGAAGTTTGCATTACCTCCACCTAAACTCCTTTTGCCCATGAGTCCAACAAACATCTCCCCTTTATTTCCTAACGAAGAGAGATGGAAAGACAGAAAAAAAAAAAACATCTTTATAAGGGTCAAAAGAAACCACATAATCTTAAAACTAGTAATAATCTTATAAGAACGGCAAGACAACCCTTATGGCTTTCTTATGGTGTACTTATACTCACTTTTCCTGCCCAGTCTCACAGGTTGAGACGCACCTGAAATTAAGGAGGGATAGAGATGTTGTAGTGAAAATAAAAAAAGCATGACAGGGAAACCAGTTTCAGCAGGAATATTATACAGATAGTACTGGAGATTGAAAAGACAACACAAAGCACAATGCAGAAACTACAAAAATACTATAAATCAGCTATAAAATCCTCACAGAGTACCATTATTTATCTATTTGTTTACCCAAGCTTCTTCCCATCAGGCCGTGGAACTGCTGTGATTTAGACCGCTTGATGAGGTCTGCCAGCTGGATGGTTATTCCTCTCTCTAGCGGATAGCCCTGCACACACACACACACACACACACACACACACACACACACACACACACACACACAATAAAGGCAGTTCTGAGTCATTGCAGGTTTGGTACAGGAATGTATCATTTGTTCTCTGCTGTCTGACTGGGAGAACAGGTGCTGTCCATGGTGCTGAAAGAATAGAAGAAGTAGAATAGTATATACAGTGGCATAATTTACCCTGAAGAAATGCCACCCGAGCTGAAAAAATACAAAAATAACTTGTTAAAAAACAGAAATTAACACATATAATTTAATGATCTATTCTGGCCACAATTTAGACTAAGTGATAGGCTTAAGTTCAGAGAAAAAAATATATTTATTTGGATGTTCAATGCTTGAATGTGCCACAATGATTTTTTTGAGTTCAAATGTACTAACTAAAATAAAAAAGTAAAATGAGATAACACAGTAAGGAACAGATGTGCATTCAATACTGATTTATTGATGAAGTATGAAGCCCAGTGCAACAATTTACACTGCTTTTGTCATTTTTTTATTAGACTGCCCTTCACTTGGAAAGCATCACAATCAATTCAACAATAGTGAGTTGTTTTCTAAACTGATACCCATGCAGGAAATAGCATTCACAAAGTTTGAGGGTTTTTCTTTGGAAGAACCTCCACCAGACTACACCCTTGACTGTATGTATACTCTGCATTTCAGCTGAAGTCCTTTTCCACTTCTGTTTTATTTACTTTTTAAAAAGCTAAAAGGGGAAAATACACTTTTACAGATTAAAGTCCTTGTTGCTTTTATACACGTTATTACTGCCTGCTGGATGATCTGGTAATGTAACAGTGTATTTGATGCCACTGGCGGTGGTCGTTCTCCGTGGTGCTGAAATGTGAGTGCCTAAAACCAACAGATCCTTGGAAGAAAGAACAGAAGGGAGGTTCCTTTGTCTTTTTGGAGATTTAAGCCACATCTCACATAATTATTCAGTTAAATACTGGCTTCATCTGACAGTAGAAAAAGAATGAGAGGAGCTAAAAAGCAAAAAGAAATTACTATAATCCTGCTATTAACTTCTACATGCGTGCTTAAAGAATATGTTTTTGTTATTATAAAACAGGCTTTTTCATTCAAAGGCACGGGAAGTGTATTTTTCTTCTCGCTGTTATTCCTCTACAGACCAATAAAAATGAATGACTTTGTTTTTTACCTGCCAGTTGTCCACCGTCCACACCTCTCCGTCTTCGTCTTCCCCGGAGAGCGGAGTCCCCAGCGCGCCGAAAACCTGCACGAACACGACCACCAACAGCACGGCTGCAAACTTCAGAGCCTCCATCATCGCCTTAGGGTGCCAAAATGAAAAGTGGCTGGAGATGGTCAAGAAAAACCTCCCCTATTCTGACGCATACAGCAGCCAAATAGCTTCAAACTACAAAACGTTTTGTGTGTTGAGTTCGGCACTTTGCGCGCTGATTCCTGAGTGAAGGTCTCCGTTTGCTCTTATAAAGTCCCTCTGCTTGCTCCTCCCCACTTCCTCCAGCCTCATATTAAACTCTATGTATCCTGCAGGCCATTTGTTTCCCTTGTCTGACTCAGACGTGATGTGCGTAGACAGTGAATAAACTTATCTAAAGCCAACTGACCTCTGCCCAGACTGTGAAGGATGGAGGTGATGATGTGTTTGTTTCTGTTACTCACCTGTGCTCTTTCTTTTGTCCTCACTGATTCATTGATAATTAAGCAGCTAAATGCGGTCTGAATTACGTCTTTGACCCGACAAAATTCTGCACTAGTCCGGTCGACGGAAGCAGTTTTGGGCACGTCCGAATATCTGCTTTAAATAAATCATTTAAATTAATTTGATACTATAGTAAAGGAGTTCGGTCTAGACCTGCTCTATTTGAAATGTGTCCTGAGATAACTTCTCTTATGAATTGGCGCTATACAAATAAAACTGAATTGAACTGAGTTTAATTAAACTAGACCTTTGAACTACCCCAAAAAAATCAGGCCTGACCTGATCTGAGCCCAAACCGCGGAAGCAGTTATGGGCCCTACACGAACCCGCATTTCTGCTCAGAATAAATAAATAATAAAATTGCTTATTTCAGACTAAAGAAAACTACATTGTCCATAGGGCAAAATTCTTACCAATAACAAAGTAACTTATTCATTACATCTGTATGCATTATTATAAATTACGTATGTAGATATTTTAGGATATTTTAGATATGTAGATAGTTTTGGGCCTGAACTTGGCTTGATCCTGGCAGGTGGTGTAAGGTAAAGTTGAATTCGGGCAGAGAATCAAACCTGAACCTGAATTTCTTCCTAAAATAAATAAATAAATAAACACTTAAAACAGTTTATTTCAGACTAAAGTAAACTAGAGCTTTGAGCGGGACAAATTTACTCATTAATTACAACAATATTAATACAATTATGAGATATATATATGTCATAAGTTTAAATATATATAATAAATCTAATTCTGTTGGCGCCCGACCTACGGCAGCAGTTTTGGGCCCGAACCTTGTGGGTCAGAGGGCAGAGAATCAGAGCTCTAGCCTGAACAAACAGTGTGGTATGGAAGCTGATGTGTGACACTCCAGTGTGTTTGAGTTATCAGGTCAATGAACCACAAGGTAGAGCAAGAAAAAGGTGCCACAGGCAAAGACGGCAATGTGCCAAACCAAATCACAAATAATACTGACACGGTTATATTTTCAATTTCAGGCCTGCCTTCAAAGCTGAACCAGATCACGTCATGTTTTGTGTCATCTTTATGGCTTGTGTCACCTTCTCCAGATGTAATCTGATTTCAGCTGTGATGTATTCATGCCTTGTTTGTGTGACTCTGCAGGTGGTTGGCCCGGTAGCAGGATGAATTTATACTTTAAATAATCACTGCAGCCACCGTCTGTGACAGGATACCTCTCTCTCTTCTTTCTTCCTAGTACAAACAGCTGGAAGAAAACAGCATTACATTTAGCATTTTGGGCATTTCAGTGATTCTTCAGACTTGTGTACAATAGACCTTTTTCACACCAGCCATTTTGACATAAAACAGTAAGGTAAACACAGGTGTCACTAATGATACTAATTAAGGTTCCATTCAGGCCAAACAGAGTCAGGGTGCTGCTGACACTTAATGGAATAGAGCCCTAATTAGAATCATTAGTAGCAGCTGTGTTTACCCTACTGTTTCATGCCAAAATGGCTGCTGTGAAAAAGGTCTGTTAGTCAAACAGTACACTTTCTGGGTTCTCCATGACTCATTGGACATAGGCTTACCACAGTGGTTCCCAACCTGGTCCCCACATGGGTCCCAGGGTAAATCTGAAGGGACACTAGATGATCAAATGGAGATCTTTAAAACATCTCTTACACAAATGTATTTCTGTTTATTTTTTTCTAACTTTTTTAAAAACTTCTTTGCAAAACTAGGTTGCTCACCTGGTAGAGCTGAGTCCTTACTGCAGCGACCCAGGGATCAATACCAACCTGCAGCCCTTTGCTGCCCCCCCCCCTCTCTCTTCTAAATTCTTGTCTTTCTGCAACTGTCTGTCCATTGAAAAGGCAGCAAATACTAAATATTTTCACCTGTTAAGGCCTTCCTTAAATACAATCTGAAAACAAAACTTACTCTTTAGCTGAATTGCTGACATTTCATATTCGAGCCACAACCTTTGATCAAGGGTCCAAGGTAGCCACTACTTCATGTTAAAGGTCCAATGTGTAGCATTTAGGAGGCTCTATTGTGAGAACTGGAATATAATATTTATAGATATGTTTTCATTAGTGTATAATCACCTGAATATAGGAATTATTGTTATTTTGTTTGGTAAATACTACACACTGGATCTTCAAGGGCCAAACAAAGTTGGGAACATGCGGTCCAATGTCAAAACCAAAGGACAAAATGGATAAAAGTTCCAAAAAGCTGCACTTGAATGGTACCTGGAAGATATACTACAGAACATCATCCCCTCACAATGCAGCAGTACACTGCGGTCGCATGACTTCAACACCACCACCACCGAACTTCCAAGTTGTCATTAAATCATGTAATTAAAACCTAAAACTTTAAAAGTTTAAGTTACAATAGTTTGCAAGAGCACGAGTATGAACACAACAGTAAATGCGGACTAGTGAGTAGATAAGGCTCTGTGTTTAACAACAACCTCTGTAGTCTCATTTAGCCACAAATTTTAAAATCTCTTAAGCTTGCATTAACCATAGACCTTATCTGTTTACATAAACGGCTATCCATGGATCAGCCTTGCTCACTCTTCACCTTTATGATCACAAGGGAGTTTTCAGAGCGTCTCCAAAACACTTTATTCCTCCTGGTGTACTGGGAGAAGGGCTGAAGAGGGATGGAGGATATTAGACTTGGGCTCCATACAGATGCAGATACAAACAGTAGGATTAGACTGTAATTCAAAGAAGTGGATCGAACACACACAAACATGCACACACAGACACACCACATCTTTACTAATACCTAAGTACACAACCTGAGAGTCTCTACATAGGCGTACATATGTCAGACAGATAATGATGGACTTCAAGTATCCAATCCAATCAGAGCTCCCGATCATCTGCTCCACTTGTAGCGAGCTGGTCACCATTTAAGTTGGCAAATACCATCTTACTCATCTAATTTAAATGTTATTTATAGTGTGTTGTTTGATGAGGGCCACAACCCGAAACACGGCAGTCTCGCAATAAAGTAGTTCTTTCTACAATAGGAGTTGCTGGAGTTTTGATCTCATCAAGCAGAACAAATTGTAAGGAAATACGTCATACTCCGATAGAATATTATCAAAGCAATGTGCTGCTTGAGTGTGCGGATGTGTATGCCAAAGAACCTGTGATAGTTTCCTTAGTATCAAAGTACATTATCTCAAACTACAATGAGGAATTACACCATGTGTCCGAATGGGAGCAGCATCATCAATATGTTAGCCATAACTGCCTGTTCCTGCTCAGGGTCACAGAGCTGACCCTCAATCAGTCACCTTTAACTGTGGCATCCATTACATTACTATGGTTGACCACTGATTAGTCATTTATGTATCCACTTCTTCAATCTAATGAAAATGGTTGCAGTTTCTGTGTTACTCATTGTTTCTCCTCTAAAAACATAGTAGTTGCAATCAATCTCCATTGGCAATCAACAACTATTGAGAATAAAATAAGGAACATCATTGCAACATGGAGGAAAGAGCCTACCATGCCATGCTAGCAGTTAGGTCAGGCTATACCAACACTATAAAAAGTAACTCAGTGGACCTATTATCACCACGTAATTAAATGCATGATTGCAAGTTAAAAATTCTGATATAATGATTTAGATCTTTTAAGTTGCAAAGAATTTTATATGAGTTGTGTTGATATAATAATGTTGGTAATTACGTCAACTTAATATTGTGCGTAATTTAAACTAACATTTCTACGTTAATTGGTTCAAAACAAAAGTCAAGTTGTAATAACTTAATAATTTTTCTCCACCTTGAGTTCAGCATTTCAAGTCCCCTCCCCTACCCAACATCACATGCCTGGGCAAATTCAGACAGTTAAGACTCTGTGTTAGAGGCAGAGATGGGGACTTGAGTTTGCAACTCGGACTCGAGTCGTACTTAAGTCGCACACACAGAGACTTCAGACTTGACTTGGACTCGTGCCCAAAAGACTTCAGACTCGACTCGGACTTGTGTCTTGAGACTCATGAACAATCATTAGCTTAATGTGATTCCTTCCTTTTTTCATGGCAACCATGGTAACCATACGCGCCTCGCAGCCTCACGCACTAGTACCACGGATGACGACTATGGCGACCGGCGGCGCACCTGCAGCTCCTGCTGTACCATTTGTGATTACATTTGGTTATAAAAACTTCAAAAAGGACGGCACCAACAAAAGGAGCGCTGACTGCAAAGTCTGCAGGACCCGAATCAAGGATGCTGGATCCACCACATCACATTTTATCAGGCACCTGAAAACTCACCCGGATAGCTCAGTCACATTAGTGCATATGGACAGTTAGCTCAGCATCAGCTATGTAACGTTCACTTAGCTTGCTACTAGCTTTGTAACTGAATATTTGAATAGATGAGTGAATGTTAGTTTGCTTGTCGCACTTGTTTGCATTGAGTGGCGTTGACATGACGTAAAAAAAAAAAAGGTCGGGTAACGTTAATTATCTACGTTGCCACCATCTACTGGCTGACGTTAACCGTAGAAAAATACATAGTTATACTGTCGGCTTACAGGCAGGTTACAGGTTCATTGTTGACCACGTAACGTTAATGTTACAGGTTTACCAGGTTACCATTACACTGAGGTTACTCTTTTGTTAGTAAAAAAGTCAAGATAGCCAATAACTCCAGTGATATTCCATTTTGAGTTTTACTTTTATGCAAGGAATCATTTTTGTCATACAAGGTGCCTTTTGGA